CACGGGGCAGGCTGACGCTGTCACGAACGACATCCCTGTTTCCCCTGGGACTCCTTCGTACACACCAAAGTTGCCAGAATACGTCAAGCAAAGTTATTGGAACCTGCTGCTTTGGCCTTCGAAGAAGGGAGGGAACAACTGCCCCCTCTTTCGTGACACCGTCGGCACCTGGCGGACTGGCCGCAGGTGCCCCCTTTTTCCTTGAATGTCTGACCCCCCGCCCCCGTGACCAGAGCACTGGCTGGAGCACAGGACGGCGAAGCCGACTTCACAGCAGGCATGTCAGAATCTCTCTGCAACACGCGCAGGCATGCCGGAATCTCTCTGACTGGTGGGAAAAAGGCTGCGCCGCCGAAGACGAGCTCCTGGAGGGCTTCGGATGATAACCCGTTATTTGCTAAGCAAACCGTAACAAGTGCAACATCATGTCAACTCTGAATGGAAGGATTCTTGAAGCAACTACATATCAACGCAAGTGCAATATAATCGGCATTATCTTGGTCTTGGGATCCTCCTTTGGTCTCGGACTGAGTATGCCCAACTATTCGGGCACCCCTGGTCCAGTTCGCCCTCAGCGTTTCGGCGTGTGGTTGGCCATCCTCTTCAGGACCTGCCACAACCAACCACACGGGGCAGGCCGACGCTGTCACGAACGACATCCCTGTTTCCCCTGGGCCTCCTTCGTACACGCCAAAGTTGCCAGAATATGTCAAGCAAAGTTATTGGAACCTGCTGTTTTGGCCTTCGAAGAAGGGAGGGAACAACTGCCCCCTCTTTCGTGACACCGTCGGCACCTGGCGGACTGGCCGCAGGTGCCCCCTTTTTCCTTGAATGTCTGACCCCCCGCCCCCGTGACCAGAGCACTGGCTGGAGCACAGGACGGCGAAGCCGACTTCACAGCAGGCATGCCAGAATCTCTCTGCAACACGCGCAGGCATGCCGGAATCTCTCTGACTGGTGGGGAAAAGGCTGCGCCGCCGAAAACGAGCTCCTGGAGGGCTTCGGATGATAACCCGTTATTTGCCAAGCAAGCCGTAACAAGTGCAACATCATGTCAAATCTGAATGGAAGGATTCTTGAAGCAACTACATGTCAACACAAGTGCAATATAATCGGCATTATCTTGGTCTTGGGATCCTCCTTTGGTCTCGGACTGAGTATGCCCAACTATTCGGGCACCCCTGGTCCAGTTCGCCCTCAGCGTTTCGGCGTGTGGTTGGCCATCCTCTTCAGGACCTGCCACAACCAACCACACGGGGCAGGCCGACGCTGTCACGAACGACATCCCTGTTTCCCCTGGGATTCCTTCGTACACACCAAAGTTGCCAGAATATGTTCAGCAAAGTTATTGGAACCTGCTGTTTTGGCCTTCGAAGAAGGGAGGGAACAACTACAAGAAGGCACCCTCCCCGAACCGACCTCGACCTGATGCCTCGCTCAGGCCGTAGGGCCGTTTCCTCCTCCTCCTCCTCCTTTTCCACTCCATCCTTCACCCTCCTTCCTCCTTCTCCTTCTTCCTCCTCCTCCCTCCTCCTCCGACCCACCCACACGGCCGTACGTCCTCCTCCCTCCTGCGGCCTGCGGTGAGCGCGGGTCTGCTCCGCTCGGCGCTCTCCGACGTGGCGCGGGCAGCCTTCCCCCTATCGCCCCTCGCGGCCTCCAGGCTCCAGCAGGGGGTGCAGTGGAGGCCAGTCCACGAGAAGCCCTCCGCAAGAAACCCCCACACTGAGACCCCAGGACGTCCGTGTGGTTCTTGGAGGGGGAGCGTCATGCCTTCCGCAGCAAGACCGTCGAAACTCGAGAAACCCAGGGCGCCCTGGAGACAAGCAGGGCACTTCCTGGCATGGGCCTCCACTGCACGGAGGAGGGGCGCGAGGGCAGAGGCGTCCCAGCCTAGCCCTTCCTGCACGGGCGAGGGTAACATGGGGGGTACGTCGACCCCCTATCCCAGGCTTCGTGCGGACTTCGAGTGGAAAGGAAACTTGGGGGCCAACCCTGGGATTATACGACGGGGGGGCTCCCATCCTCGACAGGGGTGCGGCCGAGCAGTCCCCTCGGGGTGCATCCCATATCTTCCCCCCTTCTTTGGGGGCGGCCAGACTTTTCGGGCGGAGCCCAGGGATTGGGGGAGAAAGATCATCTCTCTAGTCCTTCGTGCGCAAGCGAAGGGAAAACGCAACTGACTTCGCGCACTCGCGCCGCCTCTGGGAGACGGACGTCCGTCCGACCCGGGGCCGCGGCGGACACATGGCTGAACGCGCGTTTATACTCTCTTCGAGCGGGTCGCGGCCAACGAAAGTGGCCAGGGATGGACCGAGGAGGCAAGGATGCAAGGGTACCCTGGGGGAAGGTTGCCCATCCTTACTATGCGTGTTGACTGGAGCGGCCCTTCTTCCAGCGTCTTGACTGTGCGGCGATGGCGCCCTCCGAATCTGGAACTTATCGGCGGCGAGCCGAGAGGGGAAGTCAGAAGGGGCGGGCCTTCTCAGAAGGCTCGAAAGTCACCCGGCCTTCTGAGAAGTGTTGTCAAGCCTTTCCCGACGACGCAGAAAAACAGGAAACTTCTGAAAGGAGCGAATGCTTCTGAGAAGTCAAGCCGCTTTCTGAGAACAGGAGAGCCCAGGCCCAGAATCAAATCGATGTGTGTCGGATCGGCGATCGAAATGAATCGGATCGGCGGACATCGGCAGCCAAGTCGGGAGGAGTCGAGTCGGCCGAAATCGGAAGAGCAGTAAAGCCTCATTGAGAAATCGGAACCCAAAGCGGAATCCCAAGCCGAATCGAAGCGGAATCGGAAGCCATCGTCATCGAATCGAATCGAACCGGAGGAGTCGAAATAAGCCCTGTTTCCCCCCCTCGCTCGTCGCCGAACTGAACGGCTCAAGCCCCGTGGGCTCTACCCCTCGTCTGGCGTGCGGCAGGGATGTGCCTGCTGCGCGCGCCCTGGACAATTGTAGAGTGTTCGAGACTGCCAGGGGCTGACTGGAAAGCGCAGGAGAGCCCAGAATCGAATCGGTAAGTCGGATCGGCGATCGAAACACATCGGAATAAACCGGTGACTCGGATCGGCTGAATCGAATCGGTAAGTCGGATCGGCGATCGAAAACATCGGGTCGGAGGAAGTCGGCATCCGAGTCGGGGAAATTCGAGTCGGCGGAAATCGGCGGGCTGGTATGCCTCCACTGAGAAATCGGAGCCCTAATCGGAATCCGAAGTCGCATCGAATCGGAATCGGAAGCCATCCAAGTCGACTCGAATAGAACTGGAGGAATCGAAACGAGCCCTGAAATCGTTCTGTCACTAACTCTTAAGTATCGCGGTGTTTACATCCTAGCGAACGCACGCATTCCACAATTACAGTCGGCCCGTATCAGAAGGATGCGCGATGAGGATGCAGTGGCCTTGAACCCCCATGTCGAAGCTTTCCGAGCGGGGCTCGGTTAATGAAAGTGCCCACGGATGAGCCGAGGAGGCAAGGATGCAAGGGTACGCGTGGGAAAGTTGTCCATCCTTACCATGCGGGCCGACTGTAAGGGAGGAGGAATATGCCTAACGGGCGGGTAGGGTCGGGCGGGCGGGACATCAGAGCGTGGGGCGCGCTCGACCGAACACGCGCCGAACCTAAACGGGCGGGTCGGGTTGGGCGGGCGGACCCTAGCGGGCGGGTCGGGTCGGGCGGGCAGAACATTAAAATGTGGAGCGCGCTCGACCGAGCACGCGCGAACCCCAACGGGGGAGTCGGGTCGGTCAGGCGGACCCTGGCGGGCGGGTCGGGTCGGGCAGTTTCTCCGACGGCAGCTGGTTTCTCCGACAGCAGCTGGTTTCGCCGACGGCAGGTGGTTTCGCCGACGGAGCTGGATTCGCCGACTGAGCTGGTTTCGCCGGGCGGCGAAACCAGCCGTGGGCGAAACCAGCTGTCGCCCCGAAAGGAGCCCCCGGGAGAGAGTGTACCATTCCCCGCGGGGTCCCAGGGCCCAGAAGATCCCAAGACGGGCAGACTGAGTGCCCCGAGAGACCTCCAAGACGGTCCGACGAAGGCCGCGGATCGCCCAATGATACTTTCGTTACGCTACAAAAGACCTCCAGACGGCCCAATACACCTCCCAGTGGCTTCATGAGCCCTCCAAGAGCACTCCGAACAGGGCCCCAAGAGGTTCAAACCATAGCTTTTTATTTGTGTGTTGAAAGATTTCGGTGTTCTCGCCTTCTCGGCTGCCCGACGCTCCAAGGCGGCATCCACGATCGTCCCAAGATCGACCCAAGATAGCCCCAGAAGCCTCCAAGAGGGCACCGAATCGACCCAAGAGGGCCCCAGACAGCCCAAGAGGCACCACATGGTACTCGAAAGGAGCTTTCGAACCGTCGGCCCCAGAGCTTCCCAGGAGGCCCCTAGAGGTCCCAAGGGGCCCTCCCAGAGGCCCCTAGGCCCCCAAGAGGCCCCCAAATGGATCCAAGAGGCCCTCAGGAGTCTCTCAAGAGACACCCCAAGAAGCTACAGAAGACCCAAGAGCCCCCCCTCTCCTCGTCGACCATGTTCCATTCCCTGTCCTCCTCGCAACAGGGTCGGAGGCTCCAGCCGTAAAGGGCCACCAAACCACTAATCAAATAATTACCACCCCGACTTGCCCCGCCCGACCCGCCTCCTCCTCCTCCCTATGCCTCCTGGACCCTGAAACGTTGGGGTCGAACTCATTCCCGATCCCTGCATATCCCTGGAAAGCGTTCCAGGGACAGTAGCGCGGTCGTTCTACAAGCATGGTTACATGGTCAAGCACGCCTAAAGGAGCACCCGCCTGCAATAATGGAAGCCATACCAAATATCCACGAACGACCGAACTGAAGGGTTTGACACATGTGTTGTAATCCTGATGATTCATCATCGGGATGACAGAAGGATGAAAAACTCTGGTTCCCCTTACTATTTCAAGGATGCCGGTTGCGTCCGAATCTGGATATCGCACGATTGCCCCATGGCAGTGGTCGCTCAACTGAAACTTTTTCTGGGGATACGACAATTCATGGCACACATCATGCCGCATCCGACTTCCCAGCTGCAGTGTACATAACCACGCTCTTCCCAGCCGTGCTCGGAACAAGCGCACCATGGATCAGAGCGCCGTGCACTGCCTGTGAGATCACAGTGAAGGTCCCCTTGGAAACGCAGTCTGCCATAGTCTTCACGTCGTCGGCGGGGACTCGCTTCTCGATCTCCTGAAGCGACATCCAGCGCGCGCTTGCGATCTCCTCTGGGTCGATCTTGATATCCTCGCTGAGAGGCCGCAGCCTGAGCACACAATAGATGTCGCCCTGACCGAAAGCAAGACCGTGGGCGTGCCTGATGGATACGACGCCCACTGGCTCGGTTTTTATACCAGTCTCCTCCAACACCTCTCGACCCGCAGCAACCGCCAAGTCCTCCCCAGGGTCGGCGAGACCACCAGGCAGTTTCCAGAGGCCCTGAAACTTTGCGTTGGCCACCAAGCGCTCCTGGACCATGAGCACCTCGTTTCTCGAGTTTACCACGGCGCCGCCCACTCCAAGCAGGGTGAAGCTGTAGCGCGGCAGCTTGCAAGGGCTGGCCTCTAGCCAGCGCGAAAGCATGACGTGCTCTTCCTTGGCGTGGTGGAACTTGAAGCCTTCGGAGCTCAGCGGCAAGACCAATCGGGCGCAAGAGAGCGGCACCTTAAACCAAATGCCCCGCTTGCCCGCCGACGCCCACTCGGCCAGGCGGCTGCGCAATTCCCCGGCGAAGGCTTCAGTGGTTGCTGCGCAATCCGCCGCGACATCGACGGTGACGCCCCCGAAGCGGTCCTCCCGGCCCTCGAAGATGCCGCTCTGCGGCGACGCGGGCTGCCCGGCGGCGGCGCTGCCGCTGAGGCACGCTGCCAGCAGGTCCAGCGCCGCCTTCGCGAAGCCCCACATGTTGGCCTCCCTTTCGGCGTGGTCCGACTCCACCCAGGCGGCACGCTCCACAGGCCCAGAGACGAACAGCGCGGTGAAGCCGTGCTCGATGCCCGAGTGAGCGAACGTCGGCCCACACGCGCCACTCTCAGCCACGACCCACGTCGTACCAACCGCGGCGCGCATGCTCCGCGCGATTGCTGCCACCGAAGCTCTCTTCGACGCTCTGTAGGATGCGGCGTCCGTGGGCCTGCTGGTCGAGAGCTCGGCCACCAGCGGCTCCCCGAGGAGCTGCGCGGAGCGCCGCGTGCTGATCGTGTTCGCCGCACACGCGGCGTACTTGGAGGCGCCGGGGCGCGCGAGCAGCGCCGCCTGGATCAAGCCGCCGGCGGTCGCGTCGAACACGGCGACGGTCTCCCCCCGCTCCGTCAGCAGCCTCGCCGCCGCCTCGGCCAGGGGCGCCAGCGGCCCCGGAGCCACCGCGGGGCACGCCACTGCCACGAAGCGCAGAGCTCAGCAGCAGCAGGCCGCGGCAGAGGCCCGGCCGGCCACCAATTCGTCGCTGTGCCCCCGCGGCTCGCTGTACCCTGCCCGCGGGCGGCTCGAGCTGCCAGACCGCCAGGGCTGGGCGGTTCGAACTGCTGGACAGCAGGCGTCAGGTCAGCGCTGCGCCTCGGCAGACTCCAGAGGCTGACAAGACCGAGAGGAGGGAACGGAGACGCATCGGACCGACACCGGGCACCCTGGACAGACACTCAGAGGAGCGCCGTGAGGAATGACGACCAAGAGCTCTGCATCTCTCTGCTGTGCTCCGGAACTTGCGGGCTGGCTCGGCCCACGAGGGCCACATCTGCCCGACACGGAGCAGCACAGGCGTACCTCGCTGGGGGTGGCCACACTGACCGCCCTCGTGGATGGACAGAACCCCTTTAGCAAAACGTGGTTTAGTGAAAACGACCTCTCGGGCCCAAACCTGGCGGGCGCAGGCCTGGAAAACGACGGCCGCGGCAGCCTCGAGAACCGAGAGTGGACAATCCACGAATCGACGTGTCAGGGTGGGGGCCCTGTCCTAAAACAGGGCTAGGATCGGGATAAATCGCTCCAGAGCGTTCCGGAGCGCTCTCAGATCGTTTCGGAACGCTCTGGAGCGGCCGCGGCGCCCAATACATCCTCCAAACCCGCCGATTCTCAGAGATTTCGAATTATCCCGATTCGATGTTGTCCCGATCTTCGCGTCGTTCACCCCCGGCGCACCAACTGCCGGGGCCACCGCTGCTGAGCTCCCGAAGTCTGGCTCCGGGCCACGCCCAGCACCCATATGCGCCCCGCCCGCGCCGGCGGCCCCACCGCTCCCGCGGGGGCGGCTGCCCGGGGCGCGGCGGACTCGGGCCCTGCACTGGCTGCAGGCACAGCCCCTGTCGCGGCCCCAGCGGCGACCACCAGGCTCGAGGCTCGAGGCTCGAGGCTCGAGGCTCGAGACTCGGGGCTCGGGGCTCGGGGCTCGAGGGTCGAGGCTCTAGGGATCAAGGCACGAGGCTCGAGACTTGGGGGTCTAGGGTCGAGGTCCTCGTGACGAGCGAACACCACGCACCCATACCTATAGGGAGGAGGCCGGAGGGAGGAGCACTGGCTGTGGGCATGGGCGCGGGCTGTCGGACCCCTGGGGAGGCTCCCGATCGAGCGGGGACCCCCATCCGACAACACGCGCCCACAGCCCCGTCCGTCCTTCCCGTGGTTAGGTCGGGCGTGTCCCCGTACAGGCGGATTTTCGACGACAAATAGAACATTGTCCAAACAATACGTCGAACATGCTCCAACATACTCAAAAAATGGTTCCCCGCCGATTCTTGACTATGTTTGCAGCTGCTCCCTGCAGAGGGACGGACCCGACTTAACCCTATGGGTGTGTGTGTTGTTCGCTCGTCACGTTGGTCGCCTCGCGATTTTGGACGCCCGAAATGGGTACGAAAAAAATGGGTACAATGCCCAACAACAAATGTTGTCCCAAACCAACAGCGGCCGCTGCTGGGCAGGCGGCCTCCTGTCTCGAGTGGACACGGGCCGCGGCGGCGTGGACAGCGAATCCTGCTCAGAATGAACGGGAACTGCTGCTGGGCATCGTACCCACTCTTTCCGTGCCCATTTCGGGCGTCCAGAGCCACTGCTCGAGGGGAGGGCCCAACCCTGACCTTCCAGAGATTTTTCCCAACCCTCCTTGGTTGAGTATTCGTTTTGAATAGAGCAGTGTGGTCTCCACTCCTTCCTTCCTCCTCCTCCTCCTCCCTCCCTGCCTCTTCCTGTCTTGCCTGCGGGGGGCTGCGATGTGTGAAACGGTCGCCATTTTCGAGGCCTGCTGGGGGGCCCAGCAAAGTGAGGGCCCCGCGCAGATTCAAATTAGACCTCGCCATCCCTGGGGGGCTGCGATCTGTGAAACTGTCGCCACTTTCGAGGCCTGCTGGGGGGCCCAGCGCAGTGAGGGCCAGGCGCGGATTCAAATTAGACCTCGCCATCCCTGGGGGGGCTGCGATCTGTGAAACTGTCGCCATTTTCCAAGCCTGCTGGGGGGCTCAGCACAGTGAGGGCGACGCGCAGATGCAAATTCGACCTCGCCATCCCTGCGGGGGGCTGCGATCTGTGAAACTGTCGCCTCTTTCGAGGCTTGCTGGGGGGCCCAGCACAGTGAGGGCCCCGCGCAGATTCAAATTCGACCTCGCCACCCCTGGGGGGGTTGCGATCTGCGAAACGGTCGCCACTTTCGAGGCCTGCTGGGGGGCCCAGCACAGTGGGTACTCACCGCAGATTCAAATTAGACCTCGCTATCCCTGGGGGGCTGCGATATGTGAAACTGTCGCCATTTTCGAAGCCTGCTGGGGGGCTCAGCACAGTGAGGGCCACGCGCGGACCCAAATTAGACCTCGCCGTCCCTGGGGGGGCTGCGATCTGTGAAACTGTCGCCACTTTCGAGGCCTGCTGGGGGGCCCAGCACATTGAGGGCGACGGGCGGACCCAAATTAGACCTTGCCATCCCTGGGGGCTTCGATCTGTGAAACAGCCGCCACTTTCGAGGCCTACTGGGGGGCCTTCACAATGAGGGCGACGGGCGGACCCAAATTAGACCTCGCCATCCCTGGAATGCTGCGATCTGTGAAACTGTCGCCACTTTCGAGGCCTGCTGGGGGGGCCAACACAGTGACGCCACGGGCAGATTCAAATTAGACCTCGCCATCCCTGGGGGGCTGCGATCTGTGAAACTGTCGCCACTTTCGGGGCCTGCTGGGGGGCCCAGCACAGTGACGCCACGCGCGGATTCAAATTAGACCTCGCCATCCCTGGGGGGGCTGCGATCTGTGAAACTGTCGCCTCTTTCGAGGCTTGCTGGGGGGCCCAGCGCAGTGACGCCACGCGCGGACCCAAATTCGACCTCGCCATCCCTGGGGGGCTGCGATCTGTGAAACTGTCGCCACTTTCGAGGCCTGCTGGGGGGCTCAGCACAGTGAGGGCGACGCGCAGATTCAAATTAGACCTCGCCATCCTTGCGGGGGGCTGCGATCTGTGAAACTGTCGCCTCTTTCGAAGCTTGCTGGGGGGCCCAGCGCAGTGAGGGCCACGCGCGGATTCAAATTAGACCTCGCCGTCTCTGGGGGGGCTGCGATCTGTGAAACTGTCGCCACTTTCGAGGCCTACTGGGGGGCCCAACACAGTGAGGGCCACGCGCGGATTCAAATTCGACCTCGCCATCCCTGGGGGGCTGCGATCTGTAAAACTGTCGTCACTTTCGAGGCCTGCTGGGGGGCCCAGCACAGTGACGCCACGCGCAGACCCAAATTAGACCTCGCCATCCCTGGGGGGCTGCGATCTGTGAAACTGTCGCCACTTTCGAGGCCTGCTGGGGGGCCCAGCACATTGAGGGCCACGCGCGGACCCAAATTACACCTCGCCATCCCTGGGGGGCTGCGATCTGTGAAACTGTCGCCACTTTGGAGGCCTGCTGGGGGACCCAGCACAGTGACGCGACGCGCGGACCCAAATTAGACCTCGCCGTCCCTGGGGGGCTGCGATCTGTGAAACTGTCGCCACTTTCGAGGCCTGCTAGGGGGCCAAGCACAGTGACGCCACGCGCGGACCCAAATTAGACATCGCCATCCCTGGGGGGCTGCGATATGAGATCCCCGCTTTCGAAGTGGCTAGGGTTGCTCAGGGATTGTAACTAATCAGTTTTATCTAGACTTTGTCCTGTAGCCAGTGTCCTGCGAGTCTCCCGAATTCCGTCTGCAGACATATGTAACCCTCGCTCCGTCATCGCCCCCCTTATAAAGTGTCCTAAACTATTTGCGCCCAGCGTTTGCGCAGGGGTTGGGTGCGTCGCCAGGGTAATGTTTTGTTGCACGGGAGGCCTAAAAACCTAAAAAACACTGAACGAAACAGCCTAAAACCAAGACGTAGAATAGCTCTGGGATAGGTTTGTTTAGGTCGCGTGCTATGCGGGAGCGATGCGGGATACGCAGGTCCCGATCGCCCTGGCGGCACCGCGATGGCGGGCTCCTCCGGGGAGAGGGGCGCTGCGCTCCATTCCAAGATCGCTCCTCGCGGGGCTGCGGCGATCTCTGCGCACCTGCGGCAGCTGACCTCCACGGTGGGGCCCCCGGCCACCTGCACCTGCGGCAGCTGACTCTGCGGCGTGCCCATGCCAAGAAACACCCCGCTTGCCTCCAGGGTTCCCAGGGACTTTGATTCCAACGGTTTTACAATGGAAAGCGCAACTTTTCCATACCAAATCAGTGGACGTCTTGGGGCATCAGGGTTGGGTTTCTCGTGGAAGCTGTTTTTGAGGTCGAGCTCCTACAGTAAAGGTCATTCGACTCAATTTTATTTTGGCGGACAGATTCACGGACTGGGGTCCAAACAATAGAGGTGAACTGAGTATCTATTCCGCGGAATCCGCCGCGCGACAACGACGACGGCAACGACGACGACAGCAACCAGAAAGGGGAAGAGGAGGGAGGAGGAGTAGGCGGAAGATGAGGAGGAGGATGAGGAGGAATATGAGGAGGAGGAGGAGGAGGAGGAGGAGGAGGACGATGAGGAGGAGGATGAGGAGGAAGATGAGGATGAGGATGAGGAGGAGGAGGAGGAGGAGGAGGAGGAGGAGGAGGAGGAGGAGGAGGAGGAGGAGGAGGAGGAGGAGGAGGAGGAGGAGGAGGAGGAGGAGGAGGAGAGGAGGAGGAGGAGGAGGAGGAGGAGGAGGAGGAGGAGGAGGAGGAGGAGGAGGAGGAGGAGGAGGAGGAGGAGGAGGGTTCCGAGGGTCACGATTACGCGGCTGTTGTCTCACAGCCCTGGGACGCAGCCCGAAGCGGCCCTACCTATGCAGGGGCGCGTGCCGAACCCAATGGCTCAGCGTTCCGAAGAAAAACAACGTGCGACGAGGGACGCCAGAGACCCGCCCGATAGCAGGAAGGGAGCCCGCGCCGCCGCCGCGCGGAGCCGACCACAAGGGAGGATGGCTACCTCCCGAGTGGCATCGGCAAACGCGGCCAGGGGAGGGGACCGATGCCCTTCCACGAGGTAAGGTAGCAATCCCCCCCGTGGCCCTCAGGCCCCACCGGGCTCGACACACGACAGTGTGCCAAACCACCTTGTTGAATTCGAGCACCTGTATCTAGTCGCTCTTCACGAACGCATTCAAACACAGGAGAAAAGCAGTCGACGAAGGCTTCGAACCAGGAGGCTAAGGGTCCCTGCCGTCTTCACGTGGCGAGAGCGCTTCACGTGTCCCCAGCCCTGCGCGGGGTGCACCACGCAACTCACAACGAAAGAACCCGAGCTCATCCAAATCCTCACACCAAGCTTCACGACCGTGCTTCACTGCAAAAGCCTTGACGACCTTGCCGAAGAGCATCCACTTCCCGGCCTGGTCGCCCTCACATCCCGGAGCCCATGGCGGCTCCCCCGCGCTGCGCCCCCCCCACGTGCGCGTGGGGATGGCCCCCTCCCTGGGGCCAGGAGGGGCTTGAGCCAAAAGGGGTACGGAGGAGGAGGAGGAGGAGGAGGAGGAGGAGGAGGAGGAGGAGGAGGAGGAGGAGGAGGAGGAGGAGGAGGAGGAGGAGGAGGAGGAGGGGGGAGCGACCAGGTCGGCGCAGTCCCGCAGCGGGCAGCGGGCCAGCCTCCCCCCCCCGTGCGATCGTCATCTGCCGCGCTCCGATCGCGCCGATCGGATCGCGGGCTGCGCTCGGCCGCCCTGGGGGCCGGGCTCGCGCGCCGCGGCGGGTCGGCAACGCCGGCCGCCGCTGCAGCACGCCCGCGGGGGCGGCACCCCCCCGCGACCGGCGAGGAGGGGGCGACCCGGCCGTGCGGCGGGGGAGTGCCCTCGCCAACCCCCGTCGCGCGGCCAGCGCGGCGGCAGCA